AGCCGCCTTGCCACCTGGGAGCTGTGCACCACGCCGGTTGACTGTTCGGTGGAAGGGGATGGGGGAGTTGTCAGGGCGGCAGGGGTGGGCGACGGTGACGTCGAGCAGGTAATCACTGCCGTCGATCACACAATAGATGTCCATGCGCTGGTTGTTGGGGTTGTCGGCAGGCGGGGTGATGCCGAGGCTGTGCAGAGACACCTCCACATTAGAGGGAACATCTGCTTCAGCCAGGATGCGAACAAACAAGTTGCGCATGTTGTTGTGTCTCGTGACTCGCTCACGGCCCGTGTGACAGACGTAGAAGTGATCGCCAAACTTGTCCACCTCCCCGCCGCAGATGCATCGCTGCGAGACGGTTGCGTGCGGGAGGGCAATGCCGAGACACCCGGCTTTGTCTGTTTGTTCTGTTCTGGCCGCATGAGCTATCGAATCGAGCGCCAGTGAGAAACGAGCTGCATCACACACAAGCACACAAATCTACCACAAAACACGATGAATGGCGCCTTTGTGAGCCGCACTGACCCTGCTGCTTGTCGACGGATATGCATCGGTGGCAATGAAGGAACCCGCACCTGCAGCCACGGACGAATGAGTGGATGGATATGAGCCACGTCGATCTTCCTTCTTCTGTGCCTTCCGCCATGCGTCAACGCACGCCCTCACCATATTTGTCCTCATTCTGGTTGCTGGAGGCCAGCCCGAGGCTGGCGGCGGATCCGAAGCCGCCGTCGACGCTGGGTCAGTGCAGCGAGTCGAGATGGCGAGCGGCACAAAGGCGCAGCGTGCGCCTCTGGCCCCAAATCTGCGAGCCTTAGCCCCAAATTCAGTCCTCCCTTCTTCCCCCTCCGTTCTTCCCCCCGATGACGACAGCGCACGGGAACACCGACAAGGCGGGACCATTCTCCCACCTGTTCAAGCGCCGTTACTCATGTCCGAACATGCTCAATTCACTACCGATGACCAGGTTCAAGGACCTCGTCGACCAGGCCAAGCCACTTCTATGCGACCCCGATGCCCTCACCTTGGCGCAACTCGGCTCCCTCCTGCCGCTGGATTTGTGGCAACGCGTCGATATCAGCGACACCAAGGTGGTGCCCACGAGATGCATGTGACGAAGTAACAACACGTCGCATTGCTGCGCTTTGTGCATCCAACGCCAGGTGGGTTTCAAGAGGCCCGGCATCCACATCGTAACCCCATGGACAGAGACACGAGAAGGCAGGACCCGTTCTGTCTGTTGTGCTGCATTTCTTGGGTCTTTTTCAGTTGTACCGGTCAGATTGGCACCCCCCAATATGCCACTTCAACCACGGCACGGGTGAGTGGACGGACGAAGAGTGCATCCGCTTTAATCAAGATCTGTGGTATGTGCACATCCTGCACCCGGTAAGCAAGGGCGAGGCGGGGCGGGGGATTTCCCAGGGCTATATGTCGGTGTGTGGATGTGTCATTCAGACCGTTGAGTTCCTCATGTGTAATAAAAGCCACAGCGAATGGGACAATGCGACCTCGCCGCCTCCTTTGCGACACAGTCAGCATCTGGGCAATGGGGACAGCGTCTAATGGAAAGAACCCACCCGACTTGCGGCTCTTCTGTCTGTCTGTCTGTCTGTCTGTCTGTGTCTTCTCGAATCAGAGTTCAGCTATCACGTCGAGAGAGGGGGGGTCTATTTGTTGCAAGGAGGAGAGCTGTATGGTCTGAGGTCTGGTGTGGATTATGTCGGTAAGAAGCTGATGAGAGACACACGGTTTTTCATCGAGAATCCAGCTGTTTGTTCGTCAGACTTGCTGTGTATCCTCGACAGAATGGCGCGGGCCTCAGCAGAGGCCCACGTTCTGTACTTCACCCACTGGACGTCTCCTCATATCCACTTCCGAAAGCCCAACAGCCGCTGGACAGAGCCTGCGGGCATCGTGTGCAATGCGTTCTCCGGCCGCGTGTGGCATGCGGCCATGCCATTCTATCACGTGAGCTGCACACCTCACAGAGACACCTGCACTCGCCTTTTGGGGGGTCGACGTGGTCTCATCCTGCTCTCACACAGGGGGTCAGCTTCCTCCTGCACGACGGCGACGGCTCTTTCTGGGACCGCGCTCCTGGAAGTAAATGGAGAATGATAAACACACACCACAACGCGCAGTGGATATTTTATGGTTGATGGTGGTTTTTGGTTCCTGTAGATGGCAACTACGTTCTCCGAGACGCCGGCCTGTATCTGCTGGTCGAGGGGCGCATTCTTCGCCCCGAGTGCCTTCGTAGGCGGCAGAACCTTCTCCGCTTTGTCGTTCCTGGCTTGAAACTCGCACTAGCAGACGCCTCAGGTGCGACACACACGCGACCAATCTTGATCATCTGTGTGTCTCTTTCTATACGGTCTTTACAGCGGGACCGTTCGCCAAGCCGAGCATGGCGGCTTCTCCGGGCAGCAGCCCCACGTAACCAAACACCGCTGCTGCACATGTGGGGGGATCGCTTGCCTCATCTGTCTGTCGTTGTGTCTCAGCACCAGGACGACCCAGCCACCCAGCCTCCCGACCAGCTCCCCACCCGGCTCGCCTTCGTACTCACCCAGCAGCAGGCCAGCAGAGAGCTGACATTGGAAGCGGCGAGGCGCCTGACTGCCTGTCGGCCGAAGAGTCTCAGCGTTGTTCAGCTGTCTTTCAGCGGCGAGCAAATGGGGTGGCGGGGGATGGTGATGTTTTGGCCGCGTGCGATGCAATGTGGAGGTCGATAGATGGCGTGTGGGCAGCGAGGCGGAAAGGTGGAGACCTATGCAGTTTTCTGTGTGTGTGAAGCTCGTGGTGTGCGGTGTGCACGTGGTCATCCCATTTTGAATTCCACAGCTGTACACCAATCACGCACAGCACACGGAATGCAGCGAGTCGCATCAAGTGCATTGCAGTGTGAGCCGACGATCGACCCGGGGAGAAATGGATGCACTGAGAAGGCAGAGAGGGAGGAGAGGGCAGCCCACAGCCAAACTGTCGGCAGAGAGACACCATCCATGCATCCCTTCATCCATGCACACAGATAGACTCTACAAGAGCAACACGTGCGGCCACCCGCCCCGCCCCCCGCCCACTGACTCATTTGGCGGCTAGTTGCATGTTGAGACGGTACCCTCCCCAATCAGCTTGCTCACATGACCCGCCCGTCATCGTGTAGAGCGCTTTGCTACGATCGTAGCACTCCCAAGCAAACGAACGGGCGGCCTGGACCCTCGACCCGCCATCCTCCTCATCCAACTCAGCATAAAATGAAGTCCACACTCGCTGCGCGAAGTGTCGACACCAACTGCAGGAATGACTGCACACCCTCCTTGCTATGCCACTGATTTATGTCGAGGGCATCGAGAGGGGGAGAAACCAGGCGCTCTACACGGGGTGAGCGAAAGCTCCACTCCGCTGGCACGCTGGCTGGCCACTCATAGGACATAGGCTCGGCTATATCGACCTCACTAAGGCGTGGCACAGAGAGGTATGATAGCAGCTCACAGCCCACAGAGGCGCTAAACAATTCGCGGAAAAAGACTCTCTCGAGCCCCGCCAGCCCCCCGAAAAGACGGCTGAGCTTAGAAGGTGCAGAGGGCAGGTCAGAGAGGGAGAGAGTGCGAAAACTCACATCTATATGACGGACAGCTGGGAAGGATCGGCTCGCGGCGATGTGGCCCGCTCCATCCCTCTCAACCAGCCATGTGGGGATGCTCTCCACCACACCTGAGGCACTCGCTTTGATACGGAGCCAGAGGGATGTCGCGTTGCTGAAGACGAGCTTGTCACGCCATGATGGGTGGATTGGTGTGCCACCGAGCAGCAGCCAGACCTGACACATACAGCAGACATACGTAGGGAGCCTTGTCTTGTTGAGATGCTCGACCTTTGCCCTTTTCTTCTACCCTTTTCTCTTACCTCCCCCGCCTCGGCCGCCAGCTGTTTCACTTTCTCTCCGTAGGGACCGTCAGGCGCAGGATGGGCGGGCCCAGCATCGCTGCTGCAGTCCACCATGAAGCGCGTACGTGTCCCGCCGCTCGAGAGCAGCCACCTCCGTGGCCGCCACTCCAGCTCACAGCTCACCTCCGCCGCCCACTTGCCGACGACCTGCAAGTCGGCCGCGCGCTGCGTGCAATCCGCACCGATGTTCGGCTCAGACACAAACTCCAACCTCTTGGGCACATCTGCACCACACGAGAACGACGAAGACAGTCAGTCATTTGGTCACAAGTGCCCAACCAGCCTGTGTCAAGTCACCTTTCCTCTCTGGTTTGGCCCAGTGTTGGTCGAGGGCCTGCTTGAGCTGGTTGAGACGGCTGAACTGATTCATCTCGATCTCCAGTCCGGTGATGGTCTTGATATCAGGGCAGCGGCCGAGGGCAGCGGTGAAGTCGGCCCACTGGGGGTCGTCGAAACGCATCATCTCGGCCTCGAGCCGCTCGACATTGGGCGATTCCTTAATGAGGCGCGTGAGGCACCCTGAGGACGTATCATACTGGGAAAGACGGCCGACTTGAAGACTCCTGAGCTGCGGGAGGGCCCAGCGACGAATGCTGCAGATAACCACAGCAACACGACGATGTGACAGTTGGGTGCAGAAACCCATCTCCTTCTCCCCTGTTTGCAGACCTGCTGATGTGGCCAAGCCACTTTTCGGGCTGAATGTTCAGTCTTTCTAGGCTGGGAAATGCGGTGGGATCCCCTGAGGGTCGCGGCTGCGGTGGCTGGTGCGCACCCCATGTGTCGTCGTTGTCTTCATAGGGCTCGTGGCTATCCGGATACTTGTCCTCTGCAACATGCAGCTCCTTGAGCGTCTCTGCAGACCTCTCCAGCAGCTCGACCACACATTGCACCACACCGGACGCCTCCACATAGGCCGCCCGGATCTTGCCCTGCACACACACACACACACACCAAGCCAACAAATGTCACGTGCCACAGCTTTGCCAATGACACCACACTCCCATCTCACCAGGTGCTTCACTTCTCTCAGCTTGCGAATGGCCTGGTATTTGGCCTCCTCATCCTTCGTCATACTGAAGTGCCGAAACACACCAAAGGTCTCGTCGGTGGCCTTCTGGTGGGTCTCCTTGTTGACGCGCGTCAGGCGAGTTGCCATCATAGTCGTCAGAAACGAGCCCATGTGGCCCATGACGCCCTCGGGCAGTCCAGGCAGACACGGCCGGCCGTAATTCTGACACACAGACACAACAGAGAGAGAGGGCATGCATGCGCTGGAGATGGCCTTATCTGTTTGTGTTTCACCTTTGTATTTGCTCCCCGCTGCTGTGTCGCTGCTGGTGCACCAGATACGCCAATCAAACAACCTGAAGGCGCGATGATAACGATGTTTGCTGCCTTCGGTGGGCCGGTGCTCATGCGTACCTCCATCACTACTGGCAGCAGCAGCAGCGGCAGCGGCAGGCGAGCTGGTCCCGACTCGTGAGCGCTTCCCATCACCAACAGACACCTGAACAAGTGAGTGAGATGTTTCACTTGCGCATGAATGAAATGTATCTTTGTGTGTGCGCTTTGGTGTACCGCTTTGCTCTGGTGTGCTGCCCTGTCGGTCTCGCCCGAACTCTCAGACACGCTAGAGCCAACGTCGTTGACATTGTACAGCCACCGAAACGTCTTGCGGTCACCATCCTTGCGCTGACATCCACACAGGGACAGACACAAGGGAGCGATTGGTTTGTATGCCTCTCCCTCCCTTCTCACTTCTATCGTTCGCTTCATCCTTACCTTTGTGCTGTGGCGGGCAGTGGGAATCTGTGCCAGCTCGTCGCTGAGCATCGAGTCGACGTCTGTGAGAGTCTTCAGGACACCCGACAAGCGGCCAGCCAACGATACACAGGCCTTCAGAGTACACAGGACTGAGTGTGGGCACATGGATGGCTGCGTGCATGTGTGTGTGTGTGTTTGTGGTGACCTGTGTATTGGAGTCTGCATTTGCTATCTTCACCTTCGCCACCTCAGTGCTCGCGGCTATGTTAGAGGCAACCTGCACACAGCAGGGCCAGCAACCGCTGCGGCATGCAAAGGGACTCGCTATCCCTCCCCTCTCGTCTTTCTCTCACCGAGTGTATCTTATCTATAATATTCCGCAAGCTGCCGTTGCCATCCGATCCGTCGCCTTCCTCCCCTGAATGCAGCACACCATCACCACACGTACAAGGCATGACACTATTGGCGGCTGACGGCCATCAGTCGACGTGTGGTTGCATGTGTGAGTGTGTCATCACCTCGTGAGGGCGCCGGGCCGCCATCGCTACTGACGTCCACCGTCGGCACAGATCAACCACCTGCACCAACGGAGAGAGGGCGAGGGAGATGAGATCCATCCATTTATCCATCCATCCATCCATCCATCCTTGTGTGTCTGGGTCACTCCTCAGGTGGTAGCCGGCAGCCTCCACACAGCTGCAAATGACATATCGTCAAGAGAAGAGGCCCGATGTCAGCGCTGCCGTCAGCCGCCTGTACAGCCTCAGCCTCTCATCAAATCTGACAAGAGTATGACACGCATCCATCCAGGGGGGTGAGCCATCTTCTGTGTGTTTGTCTCTGCTGTATTGCCTTCTGGCTGCCTGCCTGTGTGATCTCTGGCTGCCTCGGCGATGCATATGCCACTCAGGTGCTCATGCATTCTTCATTGGGATATCTATCGTGTGGCCTTACCGATGAGAATGGGATGAAGGCCGGAGGCATCTTCAGCTCACGGCAGCGCCAAATTACAAGCCATTCGTTCTTTTGTCGATGGCTCGAAGTGTCGAGAATTGGGGACAAACCCCGCTCCAAACCCTACGAGACGCCATTTTTTGAATTTTCTGCATTTGCCCGCTGCTTCCTGTCACCGCTTCCCTTCCCCTGATGCCGCGTACTGCAGCCGCAGCCCGAGGCCTTCTCTCTGTGTCTGAGAGGGAATGAGGACAATCGTGACAGCAACGGACAACACATTCAGCGGTACGGCAACTGCGGGCCCCGGGCTTTCGGCCGCTGCTGGCCATTCATGAAGCCACTTGTTTTTTGAGGGCAGCGGAAGCCGGCCATGATTACTGCAGCCGGCACAGAAGACAGGCACAAACGCTACGCTCTGGCTGACAATGATAATGAGAATCCGAAAGATCCGACGTGTCGTATGCGTTGTCTGTGCGTTTCTCTGACGTCAGCTGGTAAAAACCCGTCGGAATGCGAGTATGTTGACGTCCACGACCTGTTCGACATGATAAACCTCCTCACAATCTCATCCCGCCACCCCTCCCCTATCTCCCCCCGATGCGGCCGAGATTCGGAAAGATGTCATCATCGGGATTCGCGGCCTCTACTACTATGCCCTCGCCTATCTTTCGCCGCCACGTCAATGAAGCGCCTAGGCATCGACAATCTGAATAACGACGTGCTCGTGCGGTGGACTGAGTTGCGGCAGGGCCTTGAAGAGGCGAGCACAACAACGAATGCCACATCATCGCTGCAGCCCCGTTACCCATCCCGACGCCTCTGCCGCCCATCCTACACTATAAGGGGGCAACTTTTATCGATTGCGGGACCATGCTGCAGGGAGATGCCGAGAGAGGAGAACAGTTGTGCGGCTGTCACACGACCCCATCGAGCAGATCAGAAGTGGCAAGCTCAGCTGCTTGCGGCCTATGCCTGGGGATGCATCGTCCCTGAAGTGGCGCTGGTTTCCATTGACGGCCGCATGAGCGACGACTCGGGAGAGACGTTAGAAGAGGATCTTAGTCTGAGCCCCGCCACAACCCCGACAAAGATATAGGAGATCAAGGAGATATGTGGCCGGCAGGTGGAGAGATTCGCCGAAAGGGGGGTGATAGGAATGGAGGGACCAACGGTTAGGGCGGTGCGACTAGACGAGGAGCGCAAAGACGTGGGCCATCGAGTCTACACAAATGTGCACACGCACATTCCTGTCTTGCCTCGCAGGATATTATCTCGCTGGCGAGAAGCACGACGGCATTTTGTGTCAGTGGCTTGACAGTCCGGCTTCAGCAAAAGGCAGGGCGTGCAAATCGAAGACTTGGACGAGGAATACCTCGAAGATAACAATCGGAACGTCCCACTAAAGGTATACTTCTCTACCGACACAGAGGTCTAGAACAGCAACACTGTTTCTTCCTCGTGTCTCCAAACAATGCTTTGCGTTTTCTTTTTCTCAGGCCACCAAAATAATTGAAATCGAAAAAGGACAATCGACTTTCGAAGAGGATTTTTCAACAAAGGCCCTACTCACGTGAGGACAATCACAGACGCGCTCACATGCACTCACATATTGTTGTCTGGGCGTTGTCACAGAGCATTCGACACGCCGCGGCACTCACCATACAAAAAGTCTACAAAAAGCTGCTCAAGACCAGGGAGATTCAAAAAGCCGCCGCAACGATGATACAGGCGGCCCACAGAGGGTCCAAGGGACGCAGACAGGCAGAGCTGATCAAGGAGCAGCGGATTGTTGACGAGATTAATTCAAGCAGCCTGCCGATCGAAAAGCACGAGCAGGTAAGCTGACGAGTCAACACAAATGTGTGCACGCACATTCCTGTCTTGCCTCGCAGGATATTATCTCGCTGGCGAGGAGCACGAGGGCATTTTGTATTAGTGGGTTAAGTGGCACCGGGAAATCAACACTGGTGTGTGGCCAGCTAGATCTCTTCATCCATGTCTCTTGTCGATTGCGAGTTCTTCGATTTGTCAGACCCCCATATTCCTGCTGAAGGATGCGCTAAGGCGAGGCGAATACACACATATACTGATTTCTCAGCCGCGCCGCATGGCAGCAGAGAAGATTGCCAGGTAATACAAACACATAGACAAGCCAAGCTTGATTTGCATGTCTCCCTCAGGCGACTGGCAGACCTCTGTGCTACAGAGGGGCTGGACACGCGCACGGGGGACGATAAAGGCAAGGTTGGAGGGACTGTGGTGCCGCATCGCGGGCGCCACCGTCGGGCTCCGCCACTTGAGTATCCCCCATGCGCTTGAGCTCAAGGGCGGAGACATCCCGCATCCCCGTGACCACCGCCTCCGCATGTGTGTCCATTGTATGCGAGTGCCCGTCGATGGGTGCATGCGACTGACTGTCTGCCCGCCCGCCTGCCTGTCTGCATCGATGGATGGAGAGTATCGCTGTCTACATTTTATATTCGTTGATCGTCTGTCTTCGCTGACTCGGTCGTCCTTGCTTGGCATGCAGTGAGTGCAGGACCTTGAGAGTGTTGAGTTGGCAAACAAACACCTCTCCTGCCTCACAAAGCCGCGCGAATGAAAAGCATACACAAAGAGGCTGCCTATGCACAGCGAATGTGATGCCGAACCAAGCACGTATCGAAAACCCGACAAGAATGGACAAAACGGGGGCCATACGGGCCCCTTCTTTCTCATACACCCCCCTCTCACTCACATGGACTCCTCTTGACTAACGCCAAACAGCCCGTCGAATCTGTCCATCAGTTTGCTCAGCTCACGGTCTTCCCTCTCCGTCCAGGCGCCATCCCTCTCCACCTCACTCTCGCCCTGATCGCGGGGGCTCACAAGCGCCCTGTCGTTCGTGTCTTCCGCAATTACGTGATGTGTGGTGCTGTGCCGCTTTAGAATCTTCCTCTTCAGTGCTTCTGGGAGACCGCACTCTGCAGACAGAGAGAGACAGAAGGAGACTGCGATGTGTCTCTGTCTGTCTCTGCGGTGTGCGTACGTGCTTTGAACTGCTCGAATTTCTCCATGGCCTGTTTCCTCTTGCTGGGGCTGTTTTGGGGGTTCGTGGCGCTGAGGTGGAGGGCGACATAGGTGAGGGCGGCCGCGTCGCGGGCCAGGTGGGGCATCACCGGGCGGCGGTCACCCACGTCTGTGAGGGCCTCGCAGATGGCCTCGGACAGACTCACCTAACCAGACAGGCAAAGTGAGACACACGCACGCCTTATTCAAACGGTATTTCGGGGCGTGTCTCTGTCTCTGCCGCTCACGTTGAGGAATGCCATGGTGTTTCCCAGCTCCTGCTGGAGCTTGCGCATGCCCAGGCAAAGGTCGCCCTCTTCTCTCTCCTCCTCTTTCTGAGCCTCCCTCTTGGCCCGCTCCCTCCTGGCTTCCTCACCCATGTGGGCGAGGGTCACCTGGGGCGCATGGCCCATCTCCTGGCTCGCCGGGAGCTTCGCCGGCAGCAGAGAAGGGGACTTCTGGACGTACCTGCACGTGAAGGGTAGTCGATCAGGGGCATGTCCATCGTGCTATGTGTGTGTGCTCGCTGTATGTCGCTGTATGTGACCGTGATGGCAGTTGGCAGAATCTCTGCAGGTTGTTGTGTGAGGCGAAGACCCAGTAGTCCTGCCCGTACTGGACGATGTGGTGGCTCGCCAGCGGCTTGACCAGCCGGCCGTCGTCCACTAGTGGATCGACACAGACAGAGACAGAGACAGAGACACCAGAGTCTGTGCGAGTGTGTCCGTCTGTCTGTCTGTGCAGGCGTGCGCACCGCACCGAGTGCGACAGGGTCGTATCCCCTGAGCGCCTTTTCGATGGACATCGACTGGCACTCTGTGAAGGGCAGCACACGCGGGAGGGTCCGCGGCAGCGGCGTGGACAGGTAGTGGCTCGGGTGAGACAGGAAGGCCTGCATCCACAGTCGTGATCGTGTGTATGTGGCGACGTACACACGGGGAGAGTGGGGAGAGGGTTGTTGCTGACCTGTTGGCTGTCGTGCGATTGGAGCCAGAATATTCTTCCCTTGAACTCGACGGCGAATGAGAAGTCGCCTGAGGCGTCAACCAACTCATCCTACACACACATGCACACACACACACAGACGATCCATAGAACTTTCTGGCTGTGACGTGCATACCTTCACAGTTAGGGCCACAGGGCAGAATGTCCTCCAAGGCGACACCTACGCGCAGAGAGACACGTGTGTGTGAAAACGCCCAACACGCAAGCGTACAAAGTACTTTGCTTTGGATGACTCGTGGTGTCCATCCCAGGCCGCTGCATGGAGCAGCCCGCTTGTTGGCGTGCAGCCGGTGGTACAAATGCCGACGGGCTATCGCTGACTGCACACACACGAAGACAGACAGGGATGCGTTCGTCCATTTCTGCTTCTGTGTGGGTGCGGTGCGTTGGAATGTACCTCTGCTTCCTTCATTGCAGCGTCGTAGATGCGCCACAAGGACTGGTCGCCAGGCAGCAGACTGACAACGAACGAGACGCGCAGACAGAAAGTATCTATGTCTGTCTGTCTGTCTGTGTGTCTCTGTGCCGTGTGTGTGGTTGTGTGTGGTTGCCCACCTGACGCACGAGTACATTTGGCTGTAGTAGCTCTGCACCTGCGGCGCCCGCACAGTGTAGGCGTTGAGGGCCTCACGCTGGAACAAGACGACGCGACGACTGTCCTGCACGTCGCCAACTGCACACACACGCACACACAGGCGAGCACACCCGTTTGTGTGCACATGATGAGTGTGTACTCCCACCGCACCGGTGTTGTCAGCGATCAGCCTCTGGCACCGCTGGAAGGTCAGTTCCTCCCCCGCCTGGTTGCGTGTGCGCTTAGAATACACACAGGTGACTCTGTTGTGTCTCTCGGTGTGTCAGACCTGCAAGACGAAGACGTTGTGAGGGATGACTCTGTATCTCGACAGCAGAGTCGCCTGCTTGACGTTCAGCGGCAGACCGTCGAGGATCCACCCTGAGTCGAGAGAAGAGATGTACACACAGACACATGTACACACACACACACACATACACACATGGTGTCTGGTGTGTGTGGTACCTCTCTCCAGGCAGTCCTTTTCTGAGAGGCGTCTAACGATGCTGGCCACCATCAGCTCGTCACCCACCACGCCCCCGCTGCACACAAAAGGTCCACACCCAAAGATGCACACAGACATGACCCCACAAACACACACACACACACATGGGTGCTAGCTACTACCTCTTGAGAGCGTTGTCGACGTGCAGCGCCAGCTGGTTGTCCATCTTTTGCAGAGCGCCGCTCAGCACCTCTTCGCCAGTGACCACGATGGCGCCCGTCTTCTCTGCCAGCTTGGCTGCCAGGGTGCTCTTGCCGCTCAGGGGTGGACCTACAGAAGCGCAACACGCACAAAGTGGATGTGCCTTGGCGCACACGAACACAGCCCGTGTGCATGCGCACCCATGACAACGATTGCGGGGTGTGTCTCGACTGGTGAGGGGTCTGGCGCCTGGAGAAGGTCGACAATCCTGCCCTTACTTGCCTCCCTCTCCTCGAAGGACCCCGCCACGTAGTAGATGCGATCGCGATACAACAGGGGAAACTCATACGTGCTGGGGTGGACCTACACACGTCCAGCGTCCACAGATGTGTGTGTGTGTGTGTGTGTGTATGTGTGTGTGGCGAAAGGCACACTCTAGTACCAGTCTGTCAACGCCAGTGGGGTTGAATTTTCTGAACCGGGAGAGCCGCGCGTGGCCGTGCCGCTGCAGACGCTCCGCATACAGAGGGTCGATCGACCTGACAAATGGCCGGCCGGACGCATGGATCGATGTGTGTATGCAGGTGTGTGCAGAGAGAGAGAGCCACGGGAGGGAGGTGTACCTACCTGCACTGGTGCTTCTCAATGAGGCTGTTCCGGTGCTGCACATAGGGCCTCAGGGCGTGCTCAACCATCTTCATGACGTTCGTGTGCGACCGCTGCGTCTTGACGGTGAAGATCGGCACACGTGACTCGTCGAGGGATCCACGCATCAGCGCCAGGACGGCCTCCTGCTGTCTCTTGGCAGCCGTGAACTGCTCGATCGCCTTCTCCGAGGCCTTGGGCGCACCCTCCTCAGCCTCCTCTTCCTGCGCACACAGGCCCATGGGCGAGGTGGGAGGTGTGTATGTGTTGGGAAGAGAGCTGCCCACCTCTTGGTCGGCCTCTTCTTCCTCTTCTTCGACTTCCTCGCCCGCAGCAAGACGCTGCTCGCGCTCCCGCAGCTGCAGACAACATGCGTGTGCACATCAGTATGCCTGCCTGCCTCTCTGTGTGGCTGTGTCTGTGGATTGTGGCTGTGTGTGTGGGTGTCGATCGACACACAAGTGCAGCGTGCAGCCGAGCCGACCTTTTCAGCCCGAATGGCTTCCTTCTCCTGCCTCTTCCTCTCCTTCTCTCTCTCGGCCTCCAGCTGATGGGCGCAGACAAAGCACACAGAAACACGGCCATTTTGTGGCTATGTCTCTCTCTGTGCATCGCTGTGTGTGTGTGTGCGCACGTCGATTTGCTCGAGGTTGAGGCATCGGTCGATGGCTGTGGCGTCATCGATCTCCAGGATGACCACACAGTCGGGGAGACGGCCAGCCTGACACACACACACACAGAGAGACAAGGGGGGAGGGGCAAGGAGGCTTTGTGAGTGCACGCGTCAGCTTACCCGTGCCATGATTGCGGCGACATTGTTATTGGTAACGTTCTCTTCGTCGATCTCCTCGCTCTCAGTGTTGACAAGACCAGCAAACACGTTCCCTGGCGTGACACACACATACACCCAGTGGATAGACGCATGTGTGTGTTTACGTGCAGACGCACACTGGGTGGGTTCTATGCATCACCGTCAATGATGAGCGCGCCAGTGTGTGCGTGGAGCGTGTTCCGCATGGCAGATCGCTGCAGCGAGTCCACCACCTCGGGATCGAGCTCTGCGTGTCATGGACGCACAAAGGGTGTGCGAGAGTGGATGCGTGTGTGCTAAGGTGTACGTCTCTGCCGGACCTGGCTCGCCTTCCTCTTCCCCTTCTCCCTCCGCCTCTCCCTCCTCGCTGCACACACACACACACACACACACACAGGGATATGACAGGGCGCATGTGTTGTGTGTGTGTGTGTGTGTGTGTGTGTACGCAATGATGAGGTTTCCCTCTTCGTCGACGATCGGCTCCTGGTTCTTGAGGCGCTCCTTCTCACTCGCCACACCAGCCAAGTGCTCGGCCTCCAGGCGGGCATACTGTCCAGTCAGAAGCAATGTGTGTGTGGGGCCTGGGGGACAGAGGGGCTGTGGGGGGTACCTCTTGTGTGTATGTCTGTTCGATGCCCATTTGTGGGATCTTCAGCTTGTCTGCGAGCGACTCCGCCACCGAGGGCAGCATGCAGCCAGAGGGGCCCACAAACATCAGCCTACAGACACAGACACACACGTGTCTCATCTCTCTGTGTGTGTGGGGTGGGGCATGAAGGCGCCACCTACCTGGGTGGCGGCACGTCAGCGTCCGTGTGGATGTAGGCGGCAGGGTTGAGGGAGAAGGCCTTCATCGCCGGCTCAGAGAACAGCCGATACTGCTTGTGAGACAACTGCACCTGCACACACCACACCACACCACACCCCACACAGATGGACGTGGATGTGCACACCTCTGTCCAAACACAAACACGTCTCTCTCGTGTACTTGAAAGTCGGCCTTGCCCGGCACCAGCCATTTTTCATTTCTCAGTGTCACCGGGCAATAGAGACCTGGCACACGCGCCCCCACCCTCTCACACACATACGCACACACGCACCCTTTGTTTGCACGCACCTGTCTCGCCCCACGGAACATATAGCGGCAGCTTCGGGGGTTTCTCGACTGTCTCCCCCTCCTCTCCCTCCTCCTCCTCTGCCTGCTCTTCCTCGGCCTCTTCAGGCTCGGCGTAGGGGTCGATCGGCTCCTCAACGTGGGAAGGGTCATCTGCACACGCCGGTGTGATGTGTTCGTCTCACCTGTGTGTGTGTGTGTGTGTGTGTACCTGGTTGGATGAAGAAGGGGTCGAACGCCTTGCGGACGTGGCAGAAGGTGTCGTCGATCGATGGCTCCAGCGGGATGGGAACTGTCCATGTAAACATACACACACACGCATGTGCAGCCATATCACATGTGCTTGCAGCCGCATCCCATGTGCTTGCAGCTGCGCGTACCCACTCTCTCCCCGAGGGCATCAAGCTGCGCGTCATAGGCCTCAACCGCCGGCTCCAGTAGCATGTGCTCGTCAGCAGCTCTACATTCATGTTGTTGATGTGTATACGAAGGCGCGTGTGTGTCTCTCTCTGTGTGTGGGAGAATACCGTCTTCTGAGTATGTCTGTCATCGAGGGGGCGTCCTCCTCCTCTGACAGCGCCTGTGTGTGAGACACGTGTTTGTTCACACGGAGATGCCTAGGGGCCATCGATCGTACCTTGTAAGCGAGAATGCGGTGGAACTTGATGTTGAGTCCCTCCAGCGCCACGATCTGCCCACACGCACACACACACACAAAACACAATATGCAGCACACTTGTCCGTCACACCCACGCCACGCCACGCACTCAATGTCAGCACCTCTTCCTCCTTCATCGGCGCGCCGCACACCACAAACCCCCGGGATGGCCACTCAAGCGGACCCTCCTGTCGTCATGCACACACAAGGTATACCTGTCTATGGCTGTCCGCGCATTCCCCCTCCCTCCGTACCAGCTCGACGATCGGCTCGCCGGTCTCCTCATCGATGGGGTACTCGGGAGGCTCCGTGCCTTCAGGCTACACACACACATGCAGGGAGACAGCGAGACATGAGAAAGGAAGTGTGGGGTGGGGGAGTGGGGGGGTACCGCTTCTTTCGCGGCTTCAATCTCCTTCTTGATCCCCTCGATCTGCTTCTTGCGTGTGTCGACCATCTTCCAGTTGTTGAACAGACCCAACTCACACGCAATGCATCGCACTATCGCGTCGCTGCCTACACACACATGCGCACACACCTGTCTGTGTGTGTGTGTGTGTGTGCGTGTGTGTGCGTGCGGATTTGCTGTGCTTACTGAGTTCTTTGCCGTCTATGACGGCCTCTCGCTCCTTGGGGTAGAACTGAAAGTCGCCCGTGTCCGGTGGGGGCGGCTGGCGGGCGAGGAGAGGAAAGGCAGGAGTGCATGTCTCTCTCTCTCTCTCTGTGTGTGTGTGTGTGTGTGTACCTCCTCCTCCTCTTCAACAGGTTCTGATGGTGGCGGCTCCACCTCCTGCTGCTTCTGCGGGTGGGCACACGAACACACACACATGGGTGAGGGATGATGTATGGGTGGGGACTTGTGGTGTGTACCTTGCCCCTCCTCTGCTTTTTTCTCTCTTTCTCGAGCCTCTCCCTCTCCTCCTCGGCCTTGCGGCGGGCCTCTTCAATCTGCACACACACACACACACACACACGCGCGCGCGCGCACACACTCAACCACACACACACATGGATGGAATCGGAGTGCATCTGCTTGTACCGTACCTCCTCTTTGGTTGGCGGCACGTAGTGGTCCCTCCTCTCCAGACCTCTCTCGATGGCAGACGGCAGATCGACCACTTGGAAGCCATACATGTCCTACAAAGTCACATCACACACGCGCGTCTGTGGATGCGCATAAAAGCTCTGTATACGGCGGAGGGACGGGTCATACGCTGATCATATTGGCTTGGGTCTTCTTGCCACTTCTGGGCGGCCCCAGAATGGCCAGGCCGAGGGTGGGCGGCACCTGCGGCCACTTGTCGATGTACCTGAACACCTCTCACACACATCCATGTGTGTGTTTTGTGGAATGGAAGGTGCAGAAGTCACTTACTTTCTGGGGTCTCTCTTGAAGGCTGTCATGGTCTCGGGTGAGGAGAAGAGGAACACGCGGCCGCCATAGTCGACGGCATTCTCCTGACAACCACACACACACACACACACAGGGAGAGAGAGAGAGAGAGTGGGAAATGAGTACAGCTGTATCTGCGCCTGTGTGTCTCTCTCTATCTGTGACACACCTGAGTGCCTTCTCTGATCTCGCTCTTGTCCCTCACGGCCACACAGTCGACTGTGCGCCAGGGTGACCATCGTCGAGGAGGGTCCTTCTCGTCGAGATTCAGACGCAGCAGCTCCTACACACACACACACACACACAATTAGACGCACACATGACAAATGGCTGGTGGGGCTGGGGCTGGGGTGGTTACCTTCAGTTCTCCGACGTCTGCGCTGCCCTCTATGTCTTTTGCCACTGGGGGCGGCGCCAGACACCGCTGCATCGCCTTGGTGGGGTGGATGTGGGTCATCAAGGTCGACAACAGCTGCAGAAACAGCCACCAGAGACATACACACCCACACACCCACATGTTTGTGTGAATGCGATGGATGGATGGATGGATGGTGACTGATCCACCTCTTCCGGCGCGCGGCCTTCAACAGAGAGAGTGGTGCACGGCACACCTGCGGCCTTCGAGAGAAACGAAGAGACACACACAGAGAGAGAGAGAGCACAAGCGCACACCAAGCATGTCGACACACCCCACTCCCCACACGCGCACCTCCACTTTTTGCAGCACTTTCTTGGCCCCCTCGACGTCGGCGTGGCCCGGCGTCCTCTCGGGCAGCAGCAGCTCAGACGACAGGGGCATCGGAGGGAGCTGCGCTGCACACATACAAGGTCGCGTGTGTGTATCCCCCGCACACACACAGAAAGGATGCAGGCACGCACCTGCTGACTTCTTGAAGGGTGGCTGAATATACGGTCGGATCTCCTGCACCCACACCCACATACACAGGCAGCCTTTGCTTGTGTCGATTTCTGCCGATGGGTGTATGTGTGTGTGTGTGTGTGTGTCTATACGTTGATGAGATCGACCCCTGGGATGTCGAGGTTGCCCTCCTCGTCCATCGGGGGTTCCGGCAGCGCCTCCTCCTCGGGCAACTCCTCTTCGGGCACCTCCTCACCAGCAGCCTCAAGCGCCTTCACACACACACACAGAGAGACACACAGAGGTGCTGGTGGAGGGCGGGAGGGTGGAAGGGCGGTTACGGCTGCTAGTGCATGCACACCTTTCTCGCCGCCTCCTTCTCTTTGTGTCTACTCTCCAGCTGTGTCAGGTCGTCCTTGCCCCACACCTGGCCACTCGGCTCGTGAACCCTACCAACCCCCCCACACACACATGGGATGGATTTCTTTCTGTGTGTCCATCGAAATGTATGTGCAGCAGAGGAAGAGGCACCTGAGTCCACCCGCATAGACACTGAGGTCGCTCTGTGGGTAGTCGAGGTAGACGGCCAGCCGTGGGAAGGCGTCAAGGAGGGGGTTGTCCACCCAGTGCTGGGGAGGGGGCGGTGGGGGTGGGGGGGCGGGAGGCTGCATGGGGGGTCGGATGCATGTGTGTGTGTGTGTGTGTGTGTAAACACCGCTGGCTGTCTGGCTGCGTGTGGCTGACCTCTTCTCCCTCTTCAGCTGGCTGTCCTCCCTCCCCCTCCCTCTCCCCCTCTGCAGGCTGCTCCCCTTCTGCGGCTGCTGCTGCTGCTGGGGGTTTCTCGGTCTCCTCGGGTGCACCCTCTTTCTCACCTGAGCACAGAACAGACACACAGTGGGGTGTGTGCGTGTAGGCGCTTGTGTCTGATGCGCACACACACAGATACGCACACCCATACCTGGCGGCTCTGGCTGCTCAGCGGCCTCTGCGGCTGTCTCGTCTCCCTCTCCTACTGCCGCCTTCTCCCCCTCGCCCTCTCCCTCTCCCTCTAGCTGCTGCTCTCCCTCTCCCTCGACCCCTGCCTCCCCCTCCTCGGGCGCCACAGCGGGCTCCTTCGTCGGCACTGCAGACACCGTTTGGGTACACGGATGGGTTTGCCTGCCTGCTGGCGGGGTGTCGTGTGCAGTATTGTGTGTGGCTTACACGGGGGAAGCTCGACGTCGTCTTTGGTGAAGCTGAGCCACTCCAGCCGAGGCTGAAGGAGAGAGACACAGGGCACAGACAGACAGGCGATAGATGGCACCCATCTCTGTCTGTCTGTCTGTCTGTCTGTCTGTCTGTGTACCTGGATGGAGAGCTGCCTGAGCCTGTTCAGGAAGTCTTCCAGCTCCTGAAAACACAACACACCAGACGCCGCCCGTCGGTGGCCGTGTCTCGCGGCGGCCGGTCCACTACCTGCTCGCCGCCCTCGTAAGTGGGCAGGTCCACCACATAGCCCGCTGTGCGGCACTTGGGTGAGGCCGCCATGAAGTCAACCAACAGACGCAATGTGTCTTCCAGAGACACGGACATGCCTGTGCGCGCGCATGTGTGTAGACACAGAGGTGTGTGTGTGTGTGTGTGTTGGGGGTCAGGGCGAGGAGCGGACCTCTGTAGAGCTGTTCGTTCAATCGGCTGACGAGGGGGGTCTGCTTGCTCTTGGGCACTTTCAAGGCGATCTGTCCAGACAATGAGAGTGGCCATACCGATACCGCCTCAAGTATGTGTGTGTGTGTGTGTGTGTGAAGGTGCCTGCATAATCTCTTCTGGGTTGATCCACTCAAGCCCCATTCGCTGCGCCAACTCGTAACCCACACGCTTCTTGGCTGCACACACACACACACACAGACACAGGAGATGGATGTCTCTGTCCATCACGACAGACTCACACAGGCCTTCGTGTGTGTGTACCGTCACAGTCGACCCCTAACAGCACAATGCCCATCTGGGGCGTCTTGGCGCAGTCCACCAAGTCACGATCCGTCGCCGGCTGCTCAGGACGGTCGGCCAGTGGGGGGAACTCTGACGCATGAGCAGGCTGCAGGGGAGGGGGAGGAGGGGAAGGCTCCGCGGCCACCTGCACACACACACACACATATCCGCACACAAAGGGTGTGTTTCTGCGACCACACACACGCACAGGGAGACACAGACGATCAGAGAGTGACTGAGTGTGTGCGTACCTCTCCCCCCGCTCGTTCTTCCTCCTTGCCCTCTTCGTCTTCAGGGATGTTGAGCATCCACTGGGGGTCCAGGTCACCCAGCTCCGAGCGCACCCACTGGGTGCCCGCTGAGGGGGGCTTCTCCTGCACACACAGGATGTGTATACGTGTTTGTGCGTGCGAAAGGCTGTGTAAGGCAGCATGGTTGTTACGTCTGGGAACCGAATGTCTTCCGGTTTTTGGATGGCCGTGGCAGCGAGGCCTTTCAGCGGCCCCAATGGACCGATCTCCTCTTCCTCTCTCTGCTCAGCAGCACCCTAATAAGCGTCCTCGGTTGTGTTTGGATGATGTGGGTGTGTGTAGTGGTGTGTGGCCTTTGTACCTCCTCGGCAGCAGTGGGCTCCTCCTCCCTGTGTGTGGGCATAGGCATGGGCGCTGGTGATGGAGAGGGGGCCCTCCCATTCTCCCTCTGCTGCTGCTGCTGCTGCTGCTGGGTGAACTCAGTCCACCTTCTCCGAGACTCCCTGTGTGTCCCATTGGTGTTATTCACTGACGCCTTTGTGTCGTGGGTGGCTCTTTCTGCTTGCACATACGTGTCTTTGAAGGCCTTGCTGGCGGCCACCCCAGCATCGTGTGGCAGGGCGAGCGAGTCTCGCACAATGTCCAGCTGCACACACATATACACACATAAGGACACCCACGACGCATATTTCAGCGAAGGACCTGGTTGAGAATGGAGTTCTGGCTTGGTGTGATGACAAAGCGGCTCGCGCGCGGCGCACCTCCAGCAGCAGCAACAGTCCTGCGAGACCTGTTTATGGGCACAAGTGACTTCGCATACACTGTCGTGCCATGACTCTCGTGTACCCCATGAGCAGGTCGGCGAAGTCGGCCTTCTTGTCGGTATCCTTGACACGGAAGTCCACATGCACCTCTGCTGCTGCAGCTGTTGCTGCTCTCGCAGCTGGTTCTCCTTCTTTCGCTGCTGCTGCTTCTGCTCTCTCCGTTTGCTCTTGTTCTCGCTGCAGCTGGGCACGCTGCTCCAGGCTGACCTCTGTCTTGGACATACGAATGCGCGGCTGCAACACAAAGACGGAGGAGAGGATGGGTGGATGGGAGAGACACGGCACTCTCACCTCGGGCTTGTGTCCGTCGACGACCATCTCCACCTCACACACCACACTGCCCGAAGATCGCTGCTGCTCAATGCCCTTACTGCACACACCCGCCCCCCAACGACATATGAGCAGAGGGGCACCCATGTGTTGCTCACGCTTGCTGCTCCTGCTGCTCCTGCTGCTGCTGCTGGTCCAGCTGCTCCTCATCCGGATGGTCGAGGTAGGTGTATGTGGTGTATGTCCGTGGCGCCAGGGCACCGCTGACCGTCTGTGACCGCTTCTTTACCTCACTCCCCTCGGCAGCAGGCTGGGTGTAGGCCACAGTTCTCCGCGGCACTTGCACCTCACCAGCAGCAGCGACAGCGACAGCGGCAGCGGCAGCCTGACACGTTTACACACAGGAAGTGTGCAGAGTGTGTGTGTCTGCACCCTGCACACCTGCTCAGCAGCAGCAGCGGCATCAGCGGCACCAACGGCAGCAGCAGGAGCAGCAGCAGGTGGTCTGGGTGAGATCTCCTTGGATGGCAGCAGCGACGCAGTGCGCATCGACTGAATGCGATCCGACGCCCTCTCGGCAGCCAAGCGGACCAGCTCCTGCGCCTCGGCGTGCAGCTGCGCCTAAGAAGAGGAGCCGAAGGACCTGCATAGGACGCGTCGGTATGTCTCGTGTGTATGTGTGTGTGTACTTCAGAGCTGGTGCGAGCCCGAACGGCGATAGGAGGGCCGGCAGGTGCGCTGGCGGGCACTGCTTCCGCCGCTGCTGGCGCTGCTGCAGGTGTCTCGGCTGGCATGCGCTGCTGCGTCCTTTTGTCTGGCGATTTGTCCTCCTCTGTCTCCTCTTCGAGAGTGGGCAGCTGTGTGGCCGTCTGGGCGGACCGAAACGACTCCAGCAACATCTGCCAACGCGCACCACACAGGCCATGTGTGTGTGTGTGTGTGTGTGTATGGGTGTGTGTGTTTGTGTGCGCACCTTGGCTGCGGCGCCGAAAGGCGTGACCTCTTCAGGCTTGGCCCACACGACCTCTACCGCATCCTCCGGATCGATTCCTTCATTGTCGTCGACGCACTCCTCCTCATACTCGAGCACCTCCACGTCCTCGGCAAAACCGGTCGTGCGGTCCTCTGCACACACACACACACACATGCAGCGGCTCCCATTCAGCGGGGCTGTGACGTTGTTCGCACACCGTCTGGTCCTGCTCCCATCTTTGGGTGCTGCAGCTGTGTCGTGTCGGTCAGGGCTACGTCGTCATCCCACTGGGCCATCAGCGACACCTGCCGGGCGTCAGTAGCCTCTGTGTGAGCGCACATACACATGTGTGTCGGGGAGGAAGACACTCACTCATTCTCTGTGGGTGTTGGTGGTGCTTTCTCCGACCTTGTGAGACCTTGAACGATGCCGCGAAGGACTTCTTGCGGCGAATGGGGGCGGCCGGCCTCTCCTCCGCCTGATACAAGACACCCAACACGCGAGACACGCGCGTGTACGCGATTCACACGTCTGTGTCTTCGTGTGTGTACTTTGGGCGGCTCTTCTGCATCGACGGCCATTGAAGCGCCGCGAGTTCGGCGAAAGGTCACCTAGGAAAGAAGAACAGGGTGCGCTTCTTTGTTGTCATGAATGTCTTCATCTATCCGTCGTTCCCGATCCAGACAAGGAACAACAGTACCATACCACAATCTTGGGGAGTTTCCTGATCGTTTCGCCCGTCGCCTTCTTGACGCTCCGGACGGTGATGCGCTTGAACAACTTTGTCTGCACACGAAGCAGAATGAGTGTCTTATATATGTGGGCACTGCCTGACGCACCAGGAAGTCTGAGTATGCCTTGTCGCTGATGACGGGCGTCCAGACGTCGGCCAGCTGGAAGAAGGCCTCGAAGAAACGCGTGAACTCCAGCGCATCAGCACCTGCACCCACCATACACACAAATGCGCCTTTCTCGCTCGCGGAAACACTCCTAGGTGCTTCGCCGACCTCTGCTGTCGTGCAGCCAGTCGCTGTCGACCACTTGGAGGGCCTGCTCGGGCGTGAAGTCAGGCAGCAACACCTTGCAAATCATCATCAACACCTGAGGACCACACACAGACCAGATCCAGGCACACAGGTGTGAACACACAGACACATACACATCCACGCTCATCTCATTCTCGCCTACCCGAGTGTACTCGTCCCTGGGCACTTTGTCGTCGCCGTTTTTGCGGAACAGCTGCCAGAGGCCGGCCACCTTCCGCTGCAGCACCGGCGACCACTTGAGCCGCCCACGGGCTGACAGAGCTGAGGGCGTCTCGAAGGCCTGGTCGCCTGCAATACGCAGAGGCAACAGAGAACCGCCTCCACATCTCTCTCTCTCTGTGTGCGTGTATGTGTTGTAGCTGACCCTGTAGGTAGTAAGGGATGGCATTGTGGACACCGGGCCGCTCCCACTCAAACAGCAAATCCTCAGACGGCTCCTGAGGAAGACAGGCGCACACAGAGAGCTCATAGTCGATTCATCGCCGCTCACCGTCATGACGGCAGAGGAAACGGCAAAGTGGATGGCCTTGTCTGCTTACAACCCGCCGCTGCGTGAATGTAATGATCCACTGGCAGGAAACGAATAACTTTACCCCTCCAAAACTTGAAGGAGCTTCTATCTAGAAGTTCCCCTCAGAGTCTCGTGGTGGGGGCGCAGCTGGGGGCTTCCGTCTGCATGCAGGGGGACTCAGTAGGCTGTTACGCGGAATTCGTATATATCGCATAGATGAGCATGAGAAAGGGTCTGTGGGCCTCGCATCAGACACAGACGAGGGTTCCGGCCATGATGTGTCTAGCAATCCAATCGTATCCAAGATTGTATCAATCAGTCTACCGCCCTATGCACACGAGAGAGAAAAACACCATGCAGCGGACCGAACCAGCCCCCTTCCCCGCCTTTCCTCCGGACCCCCTCCTCTTTCCGTTCTGCACACACGTTGGCACTGTACATATACACCCGGGTCTGTATCTCTGTCTGTCTGTCTCCCCGTCTCCCCATCTATGTGAGACGGCCAATTAGTTGAGTTTGTCCTGTTGCGGGCTGTACTCCTTGACGATATCAACATCGCCCTGCAGTCCACACACACACACACACACACACACACGGCCCCATCGAGACACACACACAACAAAAGAGAGAGTCTGACACTCCTGGCTGTCTTGAAGTATGCCCTCGCAGATATATAGTACTACCTCTTTTGTGGCGGTGTCTCCTGCTGCTTCCTCATCCCCGCTGTTTTTCTTGATGACGACTGTCCCCTTCTTGGCGGGCTTGGCCACCCTCGATGAGGCCTTGCTGCTCGCCGTGCTGTCCAGGGCCATCGAGTCGTCGTCGTGGACGTCGTCTTCGTCACTCTGCACGCAATCATGTGGACGGATGAAGGGAGAGAGGGACGGATGAAGGGATGTGTGTGTGTGTGTGTGTGTGTGTGGACGTGTGTGTTGCGATATTACGTCTGCATCGATGTCGATTTCCTCGGCCCACACCTGGATGTCCTCGGGGTCTGACGGGCCCTGTGTGGTGTGGGAGAGAGAGCAACACGCGGTTGTCTGTCTGTGTCTGTGTGTAATGCCATGTGTGTGGGCGGCCCACGCCCGGCGCACCGTGTCCTTCTCCGCCACATCTGACGGCAGCTCGTGTGAGTAGGCATACCTGAGTGCGGCCACACACACACACACACACACACATGAGTGGAAGGACATGAATCGCGCTGTTTGTGTGTGTGGCGTGCCAGCCAGCAATTATTATCAGACTTACTTACCGCTGTGAGTGTCTGTGTGGCGCCCACAGCCACATTATGGCCACCAAGACAAAGAGAAAGAGCAGGTGGGAGATGCCGTCGGTCAGCAGCCATTGGGACTGCCACCGAGCCGTCACATTCTGCACACACAAGACACCCACCCCCGCCCGCAGACGGTCACACACCAAGACACACAGAGGTATGTCTGCTGCGTCTTGACGTGAGGACCTGGGAGAGGTATGTGATCTGGTAGATGAGAGCCGCCGCAGCGATGATGAGCGACATGACTAGCACGTTCCACAGCCGCGTGAACAGCAGCAGCTTCTCTGTCTGCTTGCGGGCGCGCAGCTTCTGTCGCACGCAATGTAAGAACGAAATGAGCGGAGCGTATGTGTGTGTGTGTGTGTATTGTCTAATTCTGCGTGTGGGCACACACAGATATGTACCATGATGAGGGCGGAGAGTGATGTAAAGATCCAGTAGAAGAGGATGGCGTTGAGCAGAGAGACGGGGAAGAGACACATCAGCACAAAGGCGAAGTTGAAGGCGTGGGAAGACCCGTAATTCAGCACCACCAGCCTGTCAGTCGTAGGTATAAGTCCACCAAACAAACCACACATACTCACACACAATCTGTTCGGCACGCGACTGACCTGCAGGTGTCCAAGATCGTGTAGACGATCGACGTCTGCCGTATTCGCCGCACCACTGACGCCTCCAACGTGGCCCTGACCACACCCCACCCTGCACACACACACGCAGATCAGATGGATGTGTGTGTGTGTGTGTGTGTGTGTGGCGGGGGAGGGTACGATACCGAGGCTGGCTACGAGGACGAGCATATAGGAAACGATGCACTTGACGACCGACAGGACGATGGCGCAGAAGAAGAGGGCGTGTATGCGGTAGCCGTAGGTGTTCCACCAGTGAAGGTGCACGTGCCACAACACACACTCCAGAAACCCCAGAAATATCACGCCTTGCCACAAACAAACAGAGAGATAAGAAGGCATGAGAAGGCGTGCAATGGACGCCTGTGTGGGGGCGGGGGCTGGCCATCGCATATATCGTACCCGCGATGCACATTTGTATTTTGATGAGTTCGGTGTTCCAGCGGAGGGAGGCCGCAAACCAGACCACAGACAAGAACATGTAGGCCAGGGTCAGATACCCTGAAGCATAGATAGTGCACAGACATGACGTCACATGACGTCCACCAATAAAGACGCGTTTGTTTGTTCTGTCAGTGAAGGCACCGTAGAAAGGCATTCGAGGGTATTCGCTGCCCGGCAGATAGCCGTAGGGATTCTTCACCACCACTTTGCCGCTTATCGTACCCCTGTGACCCACAGGAATACGGAGGAGGCATACACACCTTCTTGTCTGTGTGTGTGTGTGTGTGCACAAACAAAGCCATACCCTTTCTTGTCCCCACAGTTGGAGAAGGTCAGCACATAGACGCCCGTCTGGCTCAGCAGCTGCCGGTCTCTGTATGTGTAAGCACACAGCGGCAGTGCACACAAACACACACACACAGAGGAGAGGCAATAATGGATGGATGGCAGGTCACTCACCTGGCTGGGTGTGGGCCGTATTCGATGCCGTGTCGGTACATTGGCTTCTCCCTCGACCCAATCAGAGTGTCCTTGACCGAACAGAGGCCCTGTTCAATACGCACACACACAAACACCCCTCATATGGACGGCTGGCTGGATGGATGGATGCGGGCAGTGAATGGCCTTCTCACGACAGCAATGTCATCTTCGTTGCAGCAGAACTTCTGCGGCGATATAATCGACCAAAAGTCTGAACACACACACACGAACCACACACCACAACAGACAGCAATCAATAAGCCTCCCCGCTCTCCATCCGGCCCTGCCCACCAGTGAATCGCATCAGCGACAGCTCCACCCCCACATAGTCCCGAAACTTCTGCACGTCCCCTCCGCCCTTCCCGGTGAATTCCATCCCCTCGAACGTCACCTGCGCCTCCCCACCTCCCCGGCCAGCGGGGCTGTCCTCTTTCCCGTACACAAAGAAGCTGTTGAGCACCTACACACACACCCGCCCACGCACACACATACAGGCTCCCATCCATCGCTCTCTCTCTCTCTCTCTCTGTTGCTGACATTGAGCTGTTTGTTGTCGGGGATCGGGGTGTCACGGAACTCATAAACCTGCGCCAGGGCCATCCTCCATGGGATGAGGAGGGCCGTGAGCAGCAGCTGGCCAGGTTTCGGCCCACGCCATGGACGGATCTGCCAAATCTCTCGCGGATCTGTCCCCATGGCACCCTGTAGTCAAACCTACTGGTGGAAAGGAGAAAAACGATACGCGGGAAACGGCGATCGCGCGCTAAGCTCGCAGGCAGGGAAGGGAAGGAAAAGATGGCTGTGTTGAGTCATTCTTGACGAGTTCGGCACAGAGATGGCACTCACAGGTGAAAGTTCAAGTTGTTCGGCCTCTTTTGGTGGCTGATTGATTCACTGAGCTGACCAATGGAGAGCACGGCGGCGTCACCGCCCTGTGTGGGCGAGCAGGAGGCGCAGACAGTGCTGCAGGAGATCTCTGCCGAGCCATTGATTGTCTGTGGGTCACTCCCGAGCGAACGAGATGCGAATTACCTCGTCCGAAAGAGGTCAGTCGTGATGAGGGCCGCTGAGCGATTGGCACACTGTCTTTGGCTGCCTGTTGGTGTGTGCAGCTCGGAAGCAGCGCCGTGCTACGTGCTGAAGATCAGCAATGAGAGCGACCAGCCGTCTTTGATTGACTGCCAGAATGAACTGATGGTACTTACACGCACACACGCACAGCACACGGCTGTCTGTTTCTGGATCATTCATGTGGCTGTGTGTCGTCGTCAGGCGCACCTCGCCCGCCATGCAGGCCCAGGGCGATTCACCGTGCCCACTCCCCTGCTGCTCAAGAACGGCTCCCACACCATGCGGACAACAGGCGGCGGCCATCTCTGCCGGCTGCTCACCTACCAGCAGGGCGTCCCTCTGGCGGATTTCTCGCCACACGACGCCACCCTCCTCGGGCGAGTCGGTCGGGTGATTGGGCATGTGACGAGTGCGCTGTGCTGGTTTGTACATAGCGGGGCGGAGAGGGCGATCGTGTGGTCGATGGAGCGGTGTGGAGAGGTCATTGGGGCGCATCTGGGGCACATGAGCGGCAGCCAGGAGGGGGACACGGAGGTGATAAAGAGATGGCTGGAGAGGTATACGAACGTCATCGAGCCGAAGATGAGAGACCTGCCAAGGGTCAGCCTGCACTGCACTAATGCATTTTATCTGCCGCCGCAGCGATTCATCTTTGTTTTGCAGGGTGTGCTTCACGGCGACCTCAACGACCGCAATATCTTGGTCGACTACCGCTGGGAGGGCCGGGCGGGGGAGGGCACACACAGCGTGGCCGTCATCGACTATGGGGACGTCAGCTGCGGGCCCAGGGTGAGTGACAGACAGATGCACACAGACGACATGAATGAAAGGACTGTCGTCGTTGTTTGCTTGCAGGTATCTGACCTGGCCATCGCGATGTCCTATGTGATGTACCGGAAGGAGGAGCCACTCGCGTGTGTCATGCCATTTGTCGCAGGGTGGGTGGGTGAGGGGCCGATCAACACGCATATTGACTTCGGCCATGGAGGGATGGATGGATGGATGTGTTTTGTGTGTCAGGTATCACAGCGTGCATCCGCTGACTGAGGGCGAAGTGGACGTCCTCTTCGACCTCTCACTCATGCGGCTCGCAACCACAGTCGTTATGGCCGCACACCATGTACGCCAACGAGGATACACACACGCACAGAGAGGGGAGGGTATCCACAATGAGTATGGTCTTTCATGTTGCTGGCAGCGGTCGATTAGGCCCGAGAATGCTTATCTGTCTGTTTCCGAGAGCGGGGCTCTGCGGCTCCTGCGTCTGCTCGACTCAACTGTCGATGTCAACCACCTGCTGCCGCGAGCCATCCTCCGACACACGTGCAATATGGTACGCGCCGTATGCGACCACAAACACCACCACACAACGCCCTTCTCGGTCGGCCTTCAGGCGCCCATCCCCTCTGCGCCGTCCCTGCACTCACTCGCGCCGCCCCACGTTGTGCGGCCCCCTTCATGTCTGGCGGTCGTCGACCTCACCAGCAGCAGCCACCTGATCGAGTGCGACGCCGAGATGTTCGCTGTGAGGGGCGGCGTCGACTGGGAGAGGCGGCCTACTGACCTCGGGGCCAAGATGGACCAGGAAATGGTAATGGGGGGTGGGCGGATGGGATGGGATGAGATGTCCTCAATGTCCGCTGTGTGCATCCGTTGAGTCAGGGCGTGGACCAGTGTGTGGCGATGAGCGGCTACATGGACGCCTGGCCCGTTCCTCTGTGCGGCATCAACGGGCCCTCTCCCTCCCCCTCCCCCTCCCCTGGTCACCCCCGCGACCACCTTCTGCGCGACGGCTGCATCCGCCCCTCTCTCGCCACCACACAAATCGGACGCACCTTCTTCCTTCGCTCGCCGGCAGCCGAGCCAGTGGGGTTCGCTCGGCACCAACGCGGCAAAGGCGGCCAGTGGGAGGTGTTCTGTCCTCTCGATGGGTGTGAGTTGCTGCACGTGGATGCGGCGAGCAGGAGAGGGACGGGGCTGGTGGTGCTGCTGCAGCGGGTGTCCTCTCAGGTGCGGGAGGTGTCGAGCGCGTCCACTCTGACGGGCGGGGCCAACAGCAATAGCAGCCCACCGGCTTCAGACTGCGATGAGGACCCACCCCACCACCACCAGCAGCAGCAGCAGCAGGCGCCCACAACAGACGTGTATTGGCTCATTGCGGGGCTGCATGGCCCCTCGCTAGACACGAGAAGGCAGGGCAGGGCTATCAGCAAGGGAGACATTATCGGCCCTGTGGATGTGGGCCAGTGGGGGTGTGCCGGGCTGGAGGGAGTGGCGACACTGCCGCCGAGGGTCCACGTGACGGCTGCCTTTGACCTATGGGGCCACGAGGCCGACCCTGCGGCCTTTCCAACTCGCTGCACGCGGAGGCTCAAGGTCAGTACACACACACAAACCGCAATTGTGGCCCGAGACACACACCATCTCTCTCTCTGTGTGGTACTGCAGGAGGTGTATGAGTGCTTGTGTCCGGACCCTGCCGTGCTTCTGGGTCTGCTTCCCTCCGCTGTGGGTGTGGGTGTAGAGGCCAAGATGTCTTTGTGTGACGGCATGGTGCACGTCGGTGCCCCCTCTGTGCTGGCCGGGGGCAAGAGGGACCCTGAAGAGCTGAAACGGGTGAAGATCCTCTTGTATGCGGGTGTCTTCACCCAGCGCGTGTGCGCCTGTGTGTGTTGTGCAGATAAGGCGTGACGTTCTGGGCAGGAATCTGTCGCTCAACTACAAGGCGGACCCTGTCAAGGTCGTCAGGTGAGCCATTCGCCATGGTGCATATGGACGGACGGATGGATGGATGGATTGATGGATGTGTGCAGGGGCAGCGGTCAGTACTTGTACGACGAGACGGGGCGGGCCTACCTTGACTGCGTCAACAACGTCACACACGTGGGACACGGCAACCCCATTGTCGTCAGGTACAAGCTTCAGACACACACACACACGCATCAAGCAACGACATTTCCTCAAACATGTGTGTGTGTGTGTGTGTGTGTGCAGGGCGCTGCAGCAGCAGATGGAGGTGCTCAACACCAACTGCCGCTACCTCCATGACGCACTGGTCGAGTACGCCGCACAGCTCCTGGCCCTATTCCCTGACCCTCTCAGGTAGACAGACACCCACACGCGCACACAGACAGACAAACGCATGGTATGGATGGAAATCGGTGTCTCTGTGCAATCTATGCGTTCAGAGTGGTGTATTTGGTCAACACGGGCACCGAGGCGAACGAGCTGGCCCTGCGGCTGGCACAGACACACACCAAGCGGAGAGACGTTCTCATTGTCGACCACGCATACCACGGTAGAACATCCATCCATCCATCCATCTGTGTGTGTGTATATGCCTGTGTCTTGCAGGCAACTCGAGCGGTCTGATCGGCATGTCGCCGTACAAGTGTGACGGCAAGGGCGGCAGCGGCGTGCACGACTGGGTCCACAGGGTCCCCATACCCGACAGATACAGAGGACCCGCCACATACGACGACCCACAGGCAACCACAACCACACCCACACCCACACAATCCTCTGTCTCTGTGCATCCCTCTCTCTCCCTCTCCCTCCCTCTCCCTGTTTGTGTGTGTGCTGCAGGCCGGTGACTATTATGCGTCCCACGTCGAGCGCGTCATCCGCGAGTCCAAACGTCCCATCGCCGCTTTCTTCGCCGAGTCGGTGCTCTCGTGCGGGGGGCAGGTGTTCCACCCGCCCGACTACCTCTCGGCCGTATACGCCATTGTGCGTGCGCATGGGGGCGTGTGCGTGGCCGACGAAGTGCAGACGGGCTTTGGGCGGGTTGGGGGGGACAAGTGGTACGCATGGATGGATGTGCACACAGAGAGAAAGGACTCATGGATGTGTGTGTGTGTGTGTGCAGGTGGGCGTATGAGTCGAGTGGCGTCATGCCTGACATAGTGGCGATGGCCAAGCCCATCGGCAATGGACACCCGCTCGCGGCAGTCGTCACAACCACCGAGGTGGGTGGCATGCTCACTCCCTCTCACTCACTAACAAGCAGCCGCACGCACACCGACGAGCATCACTTGCGTATGTGCACGATCCGTGCAGATCGCTGCGTCGTTTGACAACGGCATGGGCTGGTTCAACACGGTACGTGCAGGCACAAATCATACCCGCATTCATTTTCGCCACTCGCGCGTGTGAGTGGATCTGACCGGTGTGATGCTGTGATGCATCCAGTATGGCGGCAATCCCGTCTCGTGTATCGTCGGCTTGTCCGTGCTCAAGGCCATCAACGAGGTGCGCAAAAGTGCACGAATCCTACATGCACACACACACACACACACACTCGCATCTCTACTTGTGTGTCATCCACACACGCAGCTTGGTCTCCGCGAGAACGCCCACGTGAGCGGCAGGAGCCTGCTCGACGGGCTGAAGACCCTCATCGAGACGAGCGACTGTGTGGGGGACGTGCGGGTACGCCACTCAGCACTTGACACTGGATGCCATCTGAATGCGTGTGTGCATGCGGCTATAGGGTGAGGGCCTGATGGCGGGCATCGAGATGGTCGAGTGCAAGCGGACCAAAGCGCCAGCGCCGGCAAAGGTGGGTCCTGATGGATACGGCAGGCAATGTGTCGATGTGTGTGTGTGCGTATGGTCCACGCAGGCCAACTACGTCATTAACCGGATGAGGCAGCTGGGCTTTTTGCTCAGCACAGATGGGCCCTTCGACAACGTCGTCAAAGTCAAGCCGCCCATGCTCTTCTCGGTACACAACTGCAGCCGCACACACACGCATGTGCCATCGCGTCATCGGAAACAGGTTGCCGACGGCCGTGCCTTGGTGGATGCCCTGAGAGTGGTGCTCAAGGAGACGCCCATGACCGTCAAGACACCAATGCGGCTGCCAATTGTGTCAAGACAAACAGCCAGAGATGCAGCTGGTCAGCCAGCACAAGCGCACCAATCCCTCCCCACACCCACTGCACTCCTCCACACACCACCTCATCTTATCTTCAGGCCCCCATCGGCAGCTTCCCTCTTTCTGGGACGATTGCCGCCAGCCCACTCCCCTCCGCACACAGTTCGACCGTCACGAGTTCGACGCCCATGTGCCTGCGAAACGGCCTGGTTACGGCCACAAGGCCCGGCGGCTGATGGTGGCCCTCAGCACGTGTGGCGCGATGGTGTTGGCTGTGCTGCTCGCATGGGCCAGGCGAGAGGGATGATGGGGTGGGTGCGATGGGCACAATGTGTCCGTACCTGCGGGGATGCTGTGTGTGTGCTCAAGGCGCACATGCACGAGGCAGTCAGTGTTGATGCAGACCCGTCCGCAACAGCGTGGGTGTGGGTAAAAGAGGGAGGGAGGGGTTTTTGCCTGTTTGTTCTTTTTTCTTCTGACGCCAGCCACTTTTTGCTGCCTGGTATTTTGGGTGGGGCAGTCGGTGTGTCGGTCGGTGATGGTATTTTTCTCCTTTTGTTTGCTCTTCCTGCCTGCCTGGGGAATGGGCGGTGAGTTTCATCCACGTCATGTCAACGCCCTCGACGCGACTGGACAGTCACAGATCGAAGTCCACCCTGCTGATTGAAGACGGGACACAGTCGATGTCCGATCCATGTGAAATTATCCATCTGTTTGCTGGGATGCCATCGCGGCTGCATTTCTCATTCGTTCAATCATGGCACCGGCTTAGCTCGCAGATTTCCAAAGAAAACCGCTCGAGGTCTGCAGGGCGTGTATCGTTATGCTTCGTGATGACCGTGTGGTGGTGTGGTCGTCGTGGCATGAGTTCAAGGATGTGAGAGATCGCATCTTCTCCGCCAACCTCCACCACAAGAAAGACGCAACCAACAGGGTGGGTAACAGAGGCGCCAGAAATGAATGACAGGAGGGAGGACAAGGAAGACCGAAGATCTTCACGAATTCGTGCTCCTCTGTCGGATGTGTGTTTGGTTGATTGTGTCCAGGTTGATCAGTGGCGCAGGCGGGGCAAGGTGCCTGTGGCCGTGGATGCGACGGCCAACCTGCTGTCTGTCATGCTCAATGACCCGTGAGAGAACAGACAGCACACAGATTCAGACAACCGCATGCACTGCTCTCACACCTGTATGTGTGTGTGTGTGTGCATTCAGTGACGTCAATCCGTTCACTGAGGCGCCTCGTGACGACACAGAGCTGCGCCTCCTCTACGCCATGACTATCGTCAGGTGCACCACAGCACACACACTATATAATGGCATGGTGTGTGTGTCATGTGTCTGCAGGGTGGTGAATGGCTTTGTTGACCAGGCACAGGAGAAGCAGTTCGCCCGGTCGGTCGCGCTGCTGGCGAGTCAGCTGGGGCTGCCGCCCTTTCTGGTGGATCTGCGGCACCAGGCCACGCACGCCGAGCTGCCCAACAGGGCCCAACTGAGGTACACGAAGCATGCCGAAGAAGGGTCCTGGGTTTGATAGTGTGCCAATCGTGTTGTGGGTATTTGCAGGTTTGCCGTGCAGGAGTTGGAGCAGCTGTTGAGGCAGCGATTCTGGTGAGCAAGGCGATCGCCCTCGTGCACCTGCCCACTCGTGTATCCTCTTTGTCTGTGTGTGCAGGGATCCACAGATGGCCCGTCTTGACGCCTTCTTCTCAGTGGGCAACCTGGAAAAGGTCAGCTTACACACACGCACACACCTCTCTCGGGCCATCGTGCGTCCTCCATTCTCCATTTCAGTGTTTTCTGCCCCCTGTGCGTCGCCTCGTCGCGCTCATTCCATCTGTGAGCCTGCCGGTGCTTGACCATGGCAATGGTGATGCGATCGACATGGATGCCTTGGCAGCTGAGATGCCCCCCGAAGACGATCAGCCACAGGTACGCAAGTGCAAGGCCTTCGGTGCACTAAGGCGGGCACCTGAAGTGTGTGTGTGTGTGTGTGTGTGGTGATCAGAGGAAGGGCAAGAAGCGGCGTCGGGTCGATGCGGAGGAGAGGGTGAAGAGGTCACCACAACAAATCAAAGGCGCCCTCGTGGACAAGGTGCGGGAGACCCACACCCAACTACGTGTCTTCTCATATCCTATCATATGCTTCTGCCGGATGTCTCCATCAGTCGGTGGCTGCCTTCACGTCGGTGTGGTCCGAGGCCAGATCAGCCGTGTCCAATTGCCCTGACGAAGTCCTGCTCCTCTCAATCGTCACGGAGTGCCTGCAGCAGATGCATGACCCGTACCTGCAGCCTCTCTCTCTGATGGCCCTCCACCTCATCTGCGGGGCCGCGTCATGCAACCTCGCTGTCAGGTCAGAACACGTGACATCAGCGCACACGGACACACCTGCGCCGTCCATCCCTTCTCTGTCTTGCCTTTCAGGGTCGTGTCGTCCATCTTCCATGCCCTCCTCTCCCCCTCTCCCTCCCAACCACCTCGCGAGCAGCTGCAGGGCAGCACTGAGGTGCGGTATCAGTCCGTCCGGGGCCAGCCATATCGTTGGAAGCTGGCGCGGGGCGGCTCTGGTCTGGCTGACCGGCAAGTTGGCGACAGGGGCGATGATGTGAGGAAAGGGTGGATGGCTGCTCTGGGCGTGGCGCAGGAGGGCATTGATGGCGACACTGCCGACTCTTCTCCTGAAGGTCACACGGGAGTGATGATCCTCTCTCTTTCCCTTCCCACTGGTGGGTGTTCGATTCCCCTGTGCAGCACCTGAGAGGACCCACCTGCGGTGGCTGAGAGCCGTCCTGAGCCTCCCCCCTTCGCCCACTCAGCCGGCCACACACGCCGCCCCATCCCCCGCTCTCTCGTCATTCCATTCGCTGGCGTTGGCCGCGCCCCTGGCCCAGCTGTCTAACACCGAGGGCGGCAGTGTCTACCATCGCGGCATAAGGCGGCTGCACGAGGCGGTCAGGTGTGTCGCGCCACACGCCATCGGCACGGCCGTGGGGCACATAGCGCGTCATGGCGCCAATGACAGGGCGGCAGCGGGGCTTCTCGGCGCTTTGGGAGAGGCAGGTATGTGGGCGACATAAATGACAATGAATGGCTTTCCGCCACTTACACACGAGGGGGTTTGTGGTGTCTTTTAGGCATCCTGACGAGCACGATCGCCACGTTGCTGCAGTGGATGGGTGAGAGGGGCATCACCGACATCATCAGCACACCACCACAAGACACTCGTCATGCAGCAGAGAAGGGGGCAACAGCTGATGCACGGCAAAATGGAGGCGACGACTTGCAGGACTGTGTGGCGGATGGCCTCGTGCCTCCCTCGGTGTCGGCCAGTGGTGTGGCGTCAGAGGTGCTGCCGCTGACGGTCGAGGGCACATGGTGGGACCCCCAGACATGGACCATACACGACGTGAGCGAGCCTGTCAAACAAGCACTCGTGTGCGGGGGTGTTTGTCACTCTCTCTCTCTCTCTCTGTGTGTGTGTGTGTGAGTGTGCAGAGTCTGCCTGTGGAGGGCTTCTTCCGTCCAGTGTGCCCTGTCGCATCGACCGCACAGCCAGCGACACCACCCAGAAGAACAGCAGCCCCACGTGCACCACGGCCAAGCGACACGGACGAGGTCTTACCGGTGGACGGTCTCGCTGTCCCGCAGATGCTCTGCGCGCCTTTTGCGCTTGTGCCGGAAGGGCAAAACGGTGCTGCAGCTGCTGTGAATGGTGTAGTGAGCGAGGGGCACAGTGATGGTGTGGATGGGAGGAGGCTGCAGATAGACTGGTCGAAAGTCGTGCCTCTCCTGTGAGTGACGGACGAGGAATAGATGTGTATATGGGGGTCGATCGATCGACGAGCGAAACGTCGTCATTTTATGATCACGCACAGCTGGCCAAAACACATAGGGGAAGGTACACAAACGGCCATAAGCGAGCCTCCTTATGGGTCGAATCGATGGCACAGATCAATCCGTCCCTATCGAGAACCTCATGCCCTATCAAATCCATGGACAGCCTCCAGAAACACAGGAAAAAGACACGCGCACCACACAAAAATGCCCGCCTTCGTCTTGTGTGTCTCCCGATGTCAGTCGCCTATACGATGCCTCCCCCACCGCACATGTGCCTGTCTTGTCGGTCGAGGGTCAGTCGAAGGTCAGTTGCCCCTATGGTGTCTCCTCTCCGGCCGCTCTGAAGGACGACAGTGACTCAGCCACGAACGGATCCAAGCATCCCGCTCCCGCTTGCTCTCATAATGCTCATCGGCAGCTGACACACAGCACAACACACAGATGGGTAAACAAATCCATCTCACTTCTCCAGGCTGCTCGTTGCTTACCGGCCATGTCAGCCGTCTTTGCCTCCAGCAGCTGGTATATGTGGCAAAGGAGAGCATCGTCAGCCGCGTGGACGGTGGAGGCCGAGTACATGCAGCTCTACGATATGATGTAAAGGCCCAGCGAGGGGATCACATAGGCATCCCTGCCATCTGGAGAGGGAGACACGGAGCCAGCAGGTATCAGCAGTTGCGGCTGTCTTACCCTGCGGGCAATCCCAAGCGGCTCTCGCTCCATTACCATCATTGAACTTCAGGCGCAGGTTCTGACAACACACGACACGATGAGCGACACAAAGATAGCAGAGTGTGTCCGGCGTCTTCTCACCTCATGCCAGGCCATCGAGACGTGAAAGAGGTCTCCCCCGCCCTCTGGCACCCCCTCACACCTGACACCGGGCGAAAGGGTCCACTTCTCCTCCCTCACTCCGCTGCCTGAAATCTCGTCTGCTCGTCGATAGTGGCAGCAGGGGTGTATCCACCCCGTCGTGTACAGGACGTTTGCCCTGTTTGCTGTTATGGCTTCCTTATCGAGGAGCGACAGAATGTCTGAACGAACAAAACAGGGAAGCCGAATGTATGGTTTTAGGTCGACTCTCACCGAGACAGGCCGCACGAGCGATGATATCCTCGCACCAGAGTGTGTGTGGACAACGCCTTCATGCAGCAAATAGACCCCCTCTTGCTTGATGAAATAGTAAGGCCCTAATGCACCAGTTAACCGAGACTGTTCTCTTCTTTGCTTGATAGCTGTATGAGTGGCGCTGGCCTTACGTTTTCCGTCTGTGTCGACGGGCGCATCCCACTCTTTCTCCCTGCCGCCCTCGGTGATCCCCATCACGAAGCACATTGACTGAAAGAGAAGGTAGGCAGCCCGACAACAATTCGTGCCCGGCTGTCGGCCTTGATGTGTCTCGCCTCACCTTCCGCTCAACATGAACATACCACAGCTCATTCGTTAGCTGGAGGCACTCCTTGCTGTTCACACGATACTCCGACGGATCCTCTGCAAGGCCGACGAAATACTCACACTTCAGTTGTATCTGCTCGCTGCTGCTGCTGCTGCTGTTGCTGCTGTTGCTTGACTTGAGTGTGTAGTAGAGGTGCAGCCCCGGTCGCTGGAGGTCTCTTGTATCGTCAGCCTGCAACATCAGAAGGCGTACGACAACTGACACAGCGTGTTTTCCTTCGTATTTTCAACCTGATGCCATCGGGCGGCCGAGTCGAACGTCGCTTGCTGTGCTTCGGCAGTTCTCGCTGCGGTGGGCTGGCCGGGTGAGTTGACCGGCTGGAGGCGGAATCCGATGAGCTGATGGGGCTTGACCAGGGAACGAATGTGAGCCCATATCTCCTCGCGAGAGATATCGGAAAGCCCCCTTACACCCTTCCGCCGCTCTCTAATGCGCGCGAGAAGTTCTCCTATCTTCGTCATGCGCGGCGGAGGAGAAGGGAGAGAAGGGAGAGGGGGG